AGGTAGCAAAATGCAAGCTAAAAGATAAAATATGAAAAGGATAGATAAAGTATAAAATTAGCAAAAAGGTAGTCATTAAGTAAAAGTAGAAAAATGTTAGCTAAAAGATAAAAAAAAACATAAAGATAGCTAGTATAAAAGTAGCAAAAGTCTAGTTAATAGCTAAAAGTAACATTAGACTAGCTAAAAATAGCAAAAGGTCAGTTAAAAATATAAAAAATGCTACCTACAACAAAGGATCACTAAAAACTAAAATTAGCACAAAAACAGAGCAGATTTCAATTTGAAAAACATTTTTTAAGAAATTAAACAAATCTCACTGTATTTTGTGGAACATTTGTAAATAAATGCAAATATTTTGAAAAAMTCTACAAGTTACAAAAACCAACACTCATCTAGAGCTGAACGTTTTAATAAATAAATGGCTAAAATGCCCCATCAAATGCCAAGGACTTTACAAAAATTGCAAAAAACACATGGAAACATTATTTCAATAACATACAGGAAAACTATAATGTAAATGCTGGATCAGCGCTCCCAGTTTCTAAGTAAGCTTCCGGAGCATCTGCTGTATCACTCTTCATTGATCTCTTTGAATTTTTCTCTTCTTGTTTTCATCTCTTATATCTCTTCTCCTAGAAAGAGCTGTTGAAAGCTTTGACTTATGATTTATCAGTGTTTTACGGTTCATGTGTGTTTGTTCTCAGTGTGTATTAAATGAGAAAAGACAGAAAAGTCAAAGATGATCTWTATCTGCTGCAAGTCCAATGTGGTATTTTGTACGAGAAATGCACTAATTTCATCAACATGGTAATTAAATTGGAAACAATCCGAATCAACGTTTCACGAGCCTGACATGAAAACACGTGTTAATGTGCAGCAAATGAAGCCAGCAGGTAGAATGTTGTCTAATGAAACTAAATGAATTTCTAATTATTGTTCATGCGCTTGAAGAATTGTGTTTAGTGCCTCTCTGCAGCTCACAGCATGACTAAATAAATGCTTTTTTTTCCCTCTGAAGTTCATGTGACATGTGCGAAGGGAGTTTTATTTTATTATGGAAATGTCCTACTTTGTGTTTCAATTTATGAGATGTTTATTTGTTCATTTCAACATGTTTACACTCATTCGAACTGTCAAGACTGATTGCTTAATTTTATTAAGTTTGATTCAAATGACTCAAAGGACAATCATCTCCCAATATTTTGCAGCAATCTAAGCACTTTGCTGTTATATGATGTTTTAGATCTAACTGTGATATTGATCGTTCACAAAAAAAAAGGAAAATGTTTTTTACTCTCTGTTCACTTCAAATACCAGTTACCCAACAGCGCCCGTGGAGAACCTCAGTCCTGGATGTTTTGCTCAGTGTGAGTCAACAGAAAGCAGCAGTGGGRCAGAGGACTTGTTTGTGTGGATGTGGGGGTGATGCAGACCTCCTTGCAGGTACCAGGGACCCCGGGCAGGCTGTTGCAGTCCCTCAGGGTGAACTTGATCTCGATGTAGACTCTCTGCGCTCCCTCCCGGCTGATGTGCCGCGTCCGCAGCCAGTTGTTCTGGTTGGCTTCCATCACGTTGCACACCTGGTAGGTCCTCATCGGGGTGTTCCTCTCATCCATCACACTGATCTCCTCCCACTGAGGACAATAAAGAGGATGCGTTCATTTCTGTTTTGCCAACAGAACATTTCAGAGGCAGATTAGGATGTATTGTAAGAATCAACACCAATTTTATACAAAAAAAGTAAGAAATAATAAAGGAATACATTTCACCCCTTTTCATGCYATAACTAAGTCATGCTCACAGTATGTGTAGTGAATGCCACTCRGCTACTACCACACCAACATTAAAAGGAAAGAGACAAATTTGAGCTGATAAATCTTTAATCAAAGTCCAAACTGAAGTAGCAATCAGCAGCACGACTGGCTGGACAACAGCATGACTCAGCAATAATCTTCATYGCTCAGCAGACAAAGAAGACATCAGTAGAGACTTTGCTAAAGGGAAAACTCAACTCAAGTTCACTGAACTGTGTGTGCGTGTGTGTGTGTGTGGGGTGGGGGGGGGTTGTTTTAGAGTGAACCAACACAAAGCCTGCATGTTCTGTTTTCATGAGTGATGATCTGTGTCAAGATGACTGAAAGAATGTCTTTGTCCGCGCTCCACATGTGCCCGGCGAGAGTGTGTTTTTCTAAAGCCAATGACTGATTTAAAGCCCTAAGAGGCAGAAAGCATGTGTTCGGTCGAGAGACATCGAGAGAAAGTTGGAGAAAGAGAGAGAAGAAGTAGGTAGGACAGAGCTACTTTGTCTCCTGTCATCTGCTGCCATCTGTTTCCACTTCTGACTGAGGCTGTAATTGAGACCACTTCTCGCCTGAGCAGGAAAACATTTCTATCTACACGCATTCATGACAACAGCACACKCACAAAAACACAAAAAGAGCACTTCTATTCCTTAAAGAAAAGAGGGGAAAATGGAAAATCAACCAATGTGGTTTGAGTGTCTCTGGATACTTAATCCATTCACTTGCTGGAGAAATAGATTTTTTTGGGCACAAACATTAGAACCCACAAATACAAACTGGATGAGTTCTTGTTTGTTGAGGGATGATAGGACCACCGGTTCTGTTCTGAGCTCCTGAAGATTTGACCTCTAAACTGATGAAAACACATCATTTATTCACATTTAAACACACCTGCAGGAGCTGCAGTGTACATTGATCTGTTGTTTTTTTAGTTTGGTCAGGGACCTTGGGAGTTGGCTATTGGGCGCCAAGTGTAAAATCCTAAAAAATGTCCACTAATATGTTGTYAATTAGCTCACTGCTCTTACAYTTAGGTACTTTTTACTAAATGTTATACACTGTCTGGCCCAAAAAAAAAAGCATTGCCAATTGAACTTTAAGGTCTGTGATGTGGGGTTGCTGCAGCTGATCAGGTCTGGGTTCATCTTTAGGATGTGCAGGAGAAGGCTGTGCTCAGCAGTCAGACTCTACCATCATCAATGCAAGATCTTGGTGAAAAAGTAATGCAACAAYGGATGGAAATAAACCTTGTCATTGCAGAAGCTTATCGAAACAATGGGCCTCATGCAAGAACATGTTCGTATTCTTATCCTAAATTTCTCTTACTTTTGTTCGTGATTTAGGAGAATTTGTGG